CGCACCGAGACTTTCGATGGCAAACCGTATAATCAGTTTTTAGGCATTCCTTACGCCGAACCGCCTATCGGTGACTTACGCTTCAAAAAGCCTGTTCCCATAAAAGCGTGGTCTGAGCTCCGGGAGGTCAGCCAATGGCCAAACCCTTGCTATCAACATAACCCAGAATTTTTGGATAATTTCCGAAACAAACAATTCAGTGAAGACTGTTTGTATTTGAATATATGGGCGCCGGTAGGTATCAGTTCTGAGGCCATGGACAGGGATCAGCTTAAAGCTGTTATGGTTTGGATACATGGAGGGGCCCTCATAGTAGGCTCACCGGTGGAGGACTACTATAGCGGACATGTATTAGCCACTAAAGGGGATGTAGTGGTCGTAACCATTGGTTATAGGTTTGTGTTTTTTAATGTTAAAAGTTTTTATTATAATAACTATGCTTTTTATAAATTTATAATTAATTTAATATATAAAGTTAGTTTTGTATTTATTGTAAACAATAAAACTGTAAATAACATAAAATAATATTTCAACATAAATTGATATTGGTAATGTTTAGTTTTTGGGCCATAAACAATCCACTATTAATACATAATTATTTTTAATGTCATAGTTATACTAGAGAACTGTATTTTAAAAGCAAGTAATAATCATCAGTATAATATATTTCATAGCAATATTGACAAGCTACCTGTCCATTTTCAGAGTCAATACTTTTGGATTCCTATACACGGGCACAGACGACGCGCCCGGAAATATGGGTCTCTGGGATCAGGTACTGGCCCTCCAGTGGGTCAACGATAACATCGAGCTCTTCGGTGGCGATTCCCATAGGATTACAATGTTTGGAGAGTCAGCCGGTGGATGGTCTACCAGTTTACACATACTGTCCCCCATATCACGGCCTTTATTTCAAAACGCTATTATGATGTCCGGCGCCGCCATTAATCGAAATGCTGGCGAACCGGCCCGGGATGTCATGCAAAAGTGGTTGAGAGGAGCGCAGGCTATCAACTGCACGGAAGGGGACGACATCCCCGACAGATTTACGCCTAAAATCATTGATTGCTTACACAACACACCTGCAGAAACATTAACAGCCATTCCCATACTGCCGGCGCTAATGGAGGGTATTGTTGGTTGGAATACAGTTGTCATAATAGACGGGGACTTCCTACCGGCCCGACCCCTGGAAATGCTTAATAAAGGGGACCATAAGAAAGGATTAAATTTAATGGTTGGCACCGCTCAGGACGAGGGCTCCTGGATCTTATGGCTCACTGAGGATTCTGTGAAGTATAGCCAACACTCCCCGTCCCCTATGACTCATCGGGAGGCCTACAACGAGTTAAGTAGGATTTCCCGTAAGATGTGGTCCAAAGAGTCCATTGACGGGGAAATGGTGTCTAAAGTATACTTCACGGGTCTGTCCGATGAGACTCCACAGGATATACTGAGACAAACGATAGGTGTGGCCATCGGTGACTACCTGTTAGGCTGTCCGGCCATACAGTTTGGACAGACTTTATACGAGAATGATGTGAGCGATAGCCGTGTCTATCAGTACTACTTTAACAGCAAATTAGGTGAACCCAAACAACTTTGCTCCAAGTGGTCAGGTGTCTGTCATTTCGATGATGTCTACCCCGTATTTGGTGTACCATTTGACAAACCTGGTCGTTTTGTTGATCAGGAACGAGATTTATCCGAGAAAATAATCCACATATTTTCTACGTTTGCTAAAACAAGGTAAGTTTAGTAAAGATTTTATTCATAATATGTATAAAATAATTTTGTATCACTAGTGAACCCCCGGCACTGGACGGCGCCGATTGGGAGGCCTACTATCGGTTGGATAACCACACGATTAGACCGTATTATGAGTTCACAAACGAACCAAAACCGGTCACTAATTTCGGGACCGGACTTAAGGTCGTTGAGTGCGAGTACTTATGGAAAAAGTACATTGATCAACAATAAACATAACATTTGAACAAGGTTATGTCTGTGTAATATTTAATTAATTTTATTTATAGTTTATTAAATAAAAATAATAACTTTTAATAATTGATCAAGTATCTATATTTGACAAACACTTTAAGCACTTCATAGCACTATTGTATGCTTTAGTTTGTCTGCGAGCAAAGTAGGTGTAGTACTGTATTCTCTCACATATTCTCTCGCATAGACTCCTGCATTCACTCTCATATGTTATGAATCAAATAATCCTCACATATAACGTGATAGTTAAATGCGAGTGTGCATACATTCAATGCATTCATAATAAGTTTAGAGGGAAATAAATGTGTAATATGTGTAACGCTGTATACTTCAAACAATGATGCTATTGCATTCAGATTAGGGCCAGGGAGGGTTTGCTAGGGCTGGGGGTTTGGGGGTGCATTCATTGAAACATTGTTTGCTTTATGTATAGACTTAAGTGACGCCACCTACCGGGAGAATAACCTAGTATAATATAACTTATAGCCTCGACTTTACTCTCACTCTCTCACGATACAGATGGCAACCATAACTCGACTAAATGTATTGAAAAATAATTTTGCAATAAAGCAGTCATAATATACAGTACAACTCATGCATTCAATCATATGTATAATAAACTAATTTCTGTGATAATTGTGCTGTATATTAATAGGCGCATAGATAAGACAATAATTTTCAATAACATCAACCAGAATCTTATCAAGGTTTAGCACACTACCCGGCCTTCAACCACACTGTCCTTCATAATAATCAATAAATAATATATTCACAGATATATCACAGAAATATTATTATATAATAGTCTCAATGACTTCATATTAAAAGAATTTTTGCAAAATATATATTATATTCAAAATAAAATATAATAAAATAATTTGACAATAAACTTATAATGAATTAGAAATTAAGTTTTACAAAATAAGAATTACTAAATAATTATCTTAAAAATAATTAATTAAAAGTATAGTGAAATAAAATGAATATAATTGTTGGAAATATTTTTGCACTACTTTTGTGCCTAAATTACGCCAAAACCGATGACAACCCTATTATCACAGTTCGCACCAAAAACGGGTTAATCAACGGCCGCACCGACACTTTCGACGGCAAACCGTATAACCAGTTTTTAGGCATTCCTTATGCCGAACCGCCTACCGGTGACTTACGCTTCAAAAAGCCGGTGCCTATCAAACCTTGGTCTGAACACCTGGAGGTCAGCCAATGGCCGGCGCCCTGTTATCAAACCTATTCAACAAATTTCCGAAATAAAAACTTCAGCGAAGACTGTCTATATTTGAATGTATGGGCGCCGGTAGATACAAATGCTGAGGTTGTGGAGAGAGATCAGCCTAAAGCTGTCATGGTTTGGATACATGGAGGAGCTCTCATAGTAGGCTCGACTGTCGAAAACTACTATAGCGGACATGTATTGGCCACTAAAGGGGATGTAGTGGTCGTAACCATCGGCTATAGGTTTGTATTAATTTTGTAAATTATTATTCACAGGAACTGTACTTAAAATTAAAAGAAATTTTGTATTTCAATAAAGTTGTTTATAATTTCATATGGTTCAAGAGAAACAGGGTCAATTATTTTAATATTAGTTTTTTGCTACCCTTCCCTCAGAGTCAACACATTTGGTTTCCTATACACGGGTACAGACGACGCGCCCGGAAATATGGGTCTCTGGGATCAGGTACTGGCCCTCCAGTGGGTCAACGATAACATCGAGCTTTTTGGTGGCGATCCCAATAGGATTACGGTGTTTGGACAGTCAGCCGGTGGATGGTCAACGAGTCTACACATACTGTCCCCCATATCCCGACCCTTATTTCAAAATGCAATCATACTATCCGGTGCTGCCATTAATCATAACGCGGGTGAACCGGCCCGGGATGTGCTACATAAGTGGCTTAGAGGGGCTCAGGCTATCAACTGTACTCAAGGGGACGACATCCCTGACAAGTTTACGTCTAAAATAATTGATTGTTTACTGAACAAACCGGCAGAAACATTAGCAGCCATTCCGATGCTACCGGCCCTCATGAATGGTGTTGTCGGTTGGAATACGTTTGTTATAATAGATGGGGAGTTCCTACCGGCCCTACCACTGGAAATGCTAAACAAAGGGGACCATAAGAAAGGGTTTAACCTAATGGTGGGTACGACTCAAGACGAGGGCTCCTACATCTTGGGGTTTACGGAGGACTCTGTGAAGTATAGCCGACAAAACCCGTCCGACATTACATATTCCGAGGCCTACAACGAGTTAAGTAGGATTTCCCGTAAGATGTGGTCCAAAGAGGTCATCGATGGGGAAATGGTGTCTAAGATATACTTCACGGGTCTGTCCGATGAGACCCCACAGGGTTTACTCAGACAAACGATAGGTGTGGCCGTCGGTGACTACCTGTTAGGCTGTCCGGCCATACAGTTCGCACAAACATTATATGAAAATGATGTGACCGATAGCCGGGTCTATCAGTACTACTATAATAGTAAATTAGGTGAACCCAAACAACTGTGCTCCGAGTGGCAAGGGGTTTGCCATTTCGATGATGTCTACCCCGTGTTTGGTGTACCATTTGACCAGGCTGACCAGTTTAATGACAAGGAACGGGATGAATCTGAAAACATGATACATATATTTTCTACGTTTGCTAAAACCGGGTTAGTTTTAAATCAATAAAAATTAAATGAATACTAATTTTAATCTCTATATTTTTTATATCACTAGTAAACCCCCGGCTCAGGACGGGGCCGATTGGGAAGCCTACTATCGGTTGAATAACCACACGATTAGACCGTATTATGAGTTCACAAACGAACCAAAACCGGTCACTAATTTCGGGACCGGACTTAAGGTCGTTGAGTGCGAGTACTTATGGAAAAAGTACATTGATCAACAATAAACATAAAATTTATACATGGTTATGTATAATTAATAATTTACAATAATGTAATATTACAATAAATATTACAGATATTAAAATAAATAAAATTGACCTAAAAAATTCACATTGCTAAAAATATTACGCTTAACAAAACTAAGTAACTCATTAAAATAATAAAACTTTAATTAATAAATTAAATGTAATATTAAATTTATTTAAGGATACAGCATAACAATTAAAAATATACTATACTATGCATTAAATATTTCATAAGATAGTTAAATTAATTGATATATTTTCACTTTAATTTGTAGCGTTTGGAGGCTAAACTTTAGACAATGCTCATTTTTCATTATTGTAATTGGTGAATACATTGCACAAAAAACTGTCATTTATTTTTATGATAATAAATAGTATATTTTTAAAAACATAATTCAAATACCAGTGACTAATGCCACGAATAAAGACAATGGCCGGTACTTTGTTATTATAACCGGTATATTATTATAAATGATATTTATACAAATGATTACAATTAATAATTATTAACAAAAATTATTAACTTTAAATATAGTTTCAATTATATCATATTTCTTGTTCCGGGTAAATAGGAAATTAAAATAGAAATAAATAAAAGGTATTAAAATAAGTATTGACATTAAATTATTATAAAATAATTTTTCAGTTTATTATAAAAATTAAAATAAGTTTTGAATTATATTTCAAACCCTTTAGTATTTTATTACAGCTTTTAATACTTTTAAAATTAATTTCAAACTTAAAACTTATAGCTTATAGGTTGATTGTATTAATATTTATAACTTATTATTTTCAGTATTATTATAATATTATTATTATGTTATTAACATAAATATCAGTAAAATGTTTAATTTAATTTAGATTTTATTTCCAAATAATTTTATTTAGTTTTAATTCTGAGGGCATAGGCGTAATCCAGTTTAACGGGAGGTGTGAGCGGTGGGAATGTTATCACAACTCCCTTTCCTTTCTCTTTTACATCTAACTGTCCTGTGGTGCCCAACAGTTCAACGGTGTCCACAGTGTTAAAGTCAATATCACCAAGCTCCAATTGGTTATTCTTAGGCCACGATAGGGCGATGGGGTATACATTGTTGTCTTTGTAGGTATACCTAACCCATTGAATACGAGTTTTTAAAAATTATTTAAATTTGAAAATCATTTTTCATGCCAACCAAACGTCTCCGGAAACGGAATCGTTTTGATGAGTCCTGTGGTTAACCCAGGGTTTGGTCGCATACACGGCCTCACCGTTGATGCCAAGCCATGAGCCCAACTGTCGGAGCCGTTCCTCAAACAAGAGGGGTATCCGTCCGTCATGTGTGGGCCCTATGTTTAGCAATAGGTTTCCGCCGCAACTGTTTAATCAAATTATTTTGTCATTCATTAAGTGATTAGAAAAACGTGTATTAATTAAATACCTAATTGTCTGCACAAAACTGTGAACCACTTCCTCAGTGGACATGTAGTCAGCCAGAGGTGCCTCCCGACGGAAACCCCACGAGTTCTTATCAAAACTCATACAACTCTCCCATTTGTGGGGCTGTAGTACGGATGGGGTGTACCTATCGGCACAGGTATAAAATCCACCATGGTGGCAGCACATATTTAAACCTAATTGGTAACAAAATAAACAAATAAAATTATGCATGCTTAATTTACCAAGCACTTTACCCCATCTATCGTTGACCACAACCGTGTCTTTTACGGGACTATTAATCAAATAAATAAAATAATTTATTAAAATTCATAACTTTGCGAGAAAATATGGCACCTGTCGTTATACAGCCAGGCCAGTATATGGGTACTGTTCCAGTAGGTGTCCGGTGCATCCCATTCCCCATCAGACCAGATAACCTCCGGTTTGTATCTATTAATCAATTCCTCTAATTCTGGGCGCGATTTCTCCTATAGTTTGCAAACAATTAAAACCAAATTAATACTAAAATTATTTTAAAATATGCAATACTTTGACAAAATCGTTGGTTTTCCACCGATTGTTAGAGTCGTTAATAAACAGTGGATTAAACCAATCCATGAGGGAATGGTAGGCACCGAATACCAGACCTTGCTTACGGACAGCCGTTGCTAAATCACCTGGGAATATTGCAACAAAAATATAAATTAATTTATTTATCATTCTACTCATTTTAATTATACCAGATTTCGAAAAAAGTTTTGTCCATCAGATTTGACTACTAAAATGCGGGTTATTGCTAAACTATTTAAGTTATGAAATTTATATTTAAACCTCAACTATGGTTTTTGGTCTTACATATTCTCCCAAAGAGAGTACTAGTTTAGAGCACCGGTAGGTCGGCACAGGTAGCTTATCTGTACAGCACTAAACTATTTAAGTTATGAAATTTATATTTAAACCTCAACTATGGTTTTTGGTCTTACATATTCTCCCAAAGAGAGTACTAGTTTAGAGCACCGGTAGGTCGGCACAGGTAGCTTATCTGTACAGCAAAAAGTATAAGTCGTAGAGAGACAATCAGCACAGCGTTGGATAGAACATAAAAAATGATCGAACACCTCTATCGGGATTTCGCAGGTGACATCCTCATTGAAGGGCTGGGAGGCACGGAATTTAGTAATTTTATATAAATTTTCATAAATCAAAAATCTAATTAAAGCATGATAATCCTCTCAAAAAATGACCAACAATTCAATTTTAAATTTTTAAAATATCTCAAGTAATTCCTGAGGTAGAGCATTTTAAATTTTCTAACATTTCGTCTAATTTGTTTTTGATATTAAATTCCTGTGAAAAATAGTGAACTTTGACTTGCTCTAGATCAGTTATTTCTTAAGTTATCTGAAAGTTTTAAAATGTTAATATTTTTAATTTTTTGAGCCCTATTTGATGATTAAATCTGATTTTTGATTTAAGAAATATTTATAGAAAATTCTTACATACCGTACCTCCCTGCTCTTCAATGAGGATGTTACCTGCGAAATCCCGATAGAGGTGTTCGATCATTTTTCATGTTCTATCCAACGCTGTGCTGATTGTCTCTCTACGACTTATACTTTTTGCTGTACAGATAAGCTACCTGTGCCGACCTACCGGTGCTCTAAACTAGTACTCTCTTCGGGAGAATATGTAAGACCAAAAACCATAGTTGAGGTTTAAATATAAATTTCATAACTTAAATAGTTTAGTAATAACCCGCATTTTAGTAGTCAAATCTGATGGACAAAACTTTTTTCGAAATCTGATATGTTCCAGTTGCTATAAAATAAATACAGATAAAACTAAAATAAGTGTGAAATCATTATTTAGGTCTAAATTTAATCTTATATTCTTACTTGTTTAATTACTAGAGTATTATGTATTATAACGGTTCCCTATCAAAAGACCTAATGATCAAAAGACCTAATGATCAAAAGACCTAATGATCATAAGACCTAATGATCAAAAGACCTAAAATTGATCAAAAGATCTAATTTTCGGGAGTATATCAAAATCTCGAAAACTAAAATCTCGAAAACATAATCCCGAAAACATAATCTCGAAAAACATAATCTCGAAATTTTAAATCATATTAATAACACTATACCGGAGTAACTAGCACGTCCAGATATATCTGATGTAGTTAGCATCCGGTATGGTAAGCTATATCTGTTATCTGCCAAGAGCTGAAACCGATAAAACTGTATCGGGCCGGGCCAGTACTTCGCGCGTTACCTAACCTAACCTAATGGTTCAACAAGGTAATAATCATGTTAGCTATATCAGATATGTGTGTGTGCTAGTAATTAGTGTTATTAATACTATTTTTTAAATTTCGAGATTATGTTTTTCGAGATTGTTTTCGAGATTTTATATTTCGAGATTTTGGGTGTATACGCTAATTTTCATATCGAATATCGGATTAAAATCAAAATGCAAAAAACCCGATTTAATCCGATATTCTCTTATATAGTCATCTTTTGTCCAAAATTCATTATTTTGATCAATTTTAGGTCTTTTGACCAAAATTAGGTCTTTTGACCAAAATTAGGTCTTTTGACCAATTTTAGGTCTTTTGATCATTAGGTCTTTTGATCATTAGGTCTTATGATCAACTACCATTATAACTAATATTATAACTAACATAGTAGACATAGTTAATATTTTTTAAATTTTTTGTTTTCCATAATTGTTATTGTATGAAACCAATTGAAAAACTTAATAACTTTTAATCTAACTCAAACACTACCATGTTTACTTACAGGATTGCATTCGCAACCAACAACCTCGACTTTTATCACAAAGCTCAAATAGTGAAACAGAAAATGAAAATGAACTTATAATAGCTAACACACACAATAATAAAACTAATCTTAGCGTAACAAATGTTGTTTCTGAGCCTGATAATTTTGCGCTAACTGAAATAACTAATATTGCCAGTATGTACAAGCACCAATTTAATAACAACTCCGTTATAAGGCCGATAACCGATTATAATAATAACCTGAATGAGATGGAAGGTCTAAAACTGACCGAGTTACTTCATGTGGCACAAAAATTTAAACGTAACATATTTGATGTTAAAAATGAGCAAGTTACTATTGAAACGTATCAACAAGCGATGGATAAACAGTTCAGCAGGGCATTGGATAAATTAATTATACTTGTTAAACATTTGACCAAGTTTAAAGAGATCTGTGAACATGATAAATTAACATTACTAAAGTCAGGTTGTCTAGATGCTATCCATTTGCGCTCACTATTACATTATGATTTTCAGCATGATCGATTAGTGTCAATCTCAAATGTAAGTTTTATAAAATGTAAATTTAAGTATTTATTAGCTAGTAACAAAATTTTCATTAGGGTCGTCAGCCACTAAAATATAATTTAAATTGGATGCAAATATTTAGGTCAACTAAATCCACCATGTACAGAAATTATTATAAAACTGCTGGAAATGTCTGGTGGGACTCGGACCCAATCATAATTCACCTGGTATATGTTTTAACATAAATAACGTTAATTATAATTAATTTAAATCATGTTTTTCAGTTAACAGTAATAGTATTGCTTAATCCAAACCGGACTAACATTTGCCATAAGGAAACAATTAAGTAAATATAAAAAATTACAAAATAGATCACCTTTCTGGATAATATTTACTGTTTTAAATAGGTACGGCCAGGGTGTATACGTGCATTTATTGCAACGTTATTTATTGTTAAAATATCGGTCCGATTACGAAGTGAATTCACAATTTGTAAAATTGACAGAAATGCTGAAAAACATGTGGTTATTGTCGAGGGCTGTGAGCATAGAAATAGATGAACAGAACCTGGATGATCGGACACAATTGTATCGTGAAGTATTTGATAAAGATTATGTTAATAATTTTGTAGAAACTACACCAATGCAAATTTTACAACCCTAGTAATATTGCTATGAAATATACAAATGTTAATCATTTATATTTAAAGTGGCATTAATTTTAATAAT